TCACCCTCAACATCACCACCACCATCAACCTCACCATCACCTCAACATCAACCTCAACATCAGGCTCACCATCACCCTCAACATCAGCCTCACCACCAACCACAACATCAGCCTCACCATCATCATCACCCTCAACATCATGCTCACCCTCATCATCACCTTCACCATCACCCTCAAGATCAACCCCCCCATCATCATCACCCTCAACATCACCATTACCACCACCCTCAACATCAGCCTCATCATCACCCGCACCATCACCCCCAACACATCACTATCACATCAACCTCACCATCATCATCACACTCAACATCACCATCATCCTTAACATAATCCTCACCCTGAACATCAACATCAGCCTCACCATCATCATCAAAATACCATCACCGCCACCATCACTATTACCCTCAACATCAGCCTCACCCTCAACATCACCATCACCATCACCGCGATCAGAGCCACCAGTAAGCAACACCATGATCATCTCACCCATTGATTAGAAGCAGCTCGGGAGGACCAGGCCAGACTGGTGCTGCTCAGACTCTGACCTTCTTGTCTTGGGCATTCTCAGTATGTTTGACCAAAAAACTATCCCAACAAAGAGACGCAATTTGGGATTATGCCTGGTTGCAGCTGGGGCCACATACACACAAAGGCACACTCAGGACCCTTAGTTGTGCTGACTCCTGGTGGCTGAGCACCAAACCAAGGACATTCCTAGAGATCTCTCCCTGCAATGCACACATGGCAACTGGGAACATGGTCTACATCACAGGATATTTAATTGCATGCAGGAGTAACTAGGGTGTCAGGGCCCTGCCTCCATGAAAGCAACTAGACCCATTTCTTCCGCATTTGCCTGACAATACTTAACTGCATGAAGGAGCAATCCCCATATGAAGGATCCTGGGTCGCTGCGCCAGAATGCCAAGGAAGGGAAGTGAGGAAGGAGAGGAAGAGAGGCAGCCAGGGATACCTACTGGTTGAACAGGATGCGGGATCGCACAATGAACTTGAAGATGTACTCGAGGGCTTTCATGGCCTTATACAGCTGCTCATTGGTGCCCAGCTTCTCAGCGTTGTCCACGTAGCTCCTCAGTACTTTCGTCAGCTTCCTGCTCACAGTGGAAACGCCAGTCAAAGGCAAGATCAGAAATATCCTGTCTCCATGCACCACGGACAGAGACGTGCACATGTGGGTGGTTTGAACTGGGTGCACATTGCAGTATCTGCATACTTGTAAACAGCTTCCTAATCTGATCGAGGGGCCCACAGGATCCCTCTCTGGGGGGCAGAGCTAAGCATTTGATAAGCACTTTCTTAGCTTGGATGTTGTGCTGAGCGCGTGGAGAACAGTATCTAACGGAATCCTCACATCTTCACCATCCCGCCTCCTATGGTGCAAACGAGGAAGCAGAGGGGTAAGTAGGTAAATGTCCAGTGAACAAACAAGCAAGGACAATCTTCACCAGAGCCCAACACAAGCGCTGGAAATCTTTCCAGAGCAGCTGAGATGCTCTGGGATTAGGTGGCGCTCAGGGTTGCGGTACAACATTGCAAATCAGAGAAGCACCACTAATTGCACATGTCAAAGGCATTAAAAGGCTCAAGTTTAGTGCGATGACCACAATGGAAGGGCATGGGGTGAAGTGAGATTTGTGACTGTAAATCACCACAGCCACTCCATTCATTCTCCTTCCCTCCCTGAAGCCATTGGAACCTTCCAGAGGAAAGCAGGCATTTGGGCAGGAATTTTTCAAATAGGAAACATCCATACATTTGTAATGAATTTTCTAAGAAGCCTTCCAGGGGAGTAATATGGATGGATATCTGAAAAGATTTTTAAATACTTTTAAAATATTTTCTGATAAAAGACTCCAACCCACCTCAAAAAAAAAAAAGTATAATTTTAAAGGTGCAAAACCACTCTTACTTCTCCTAGGATATACCTAGAAACCACGAGCTCCCAAACAAGTGTCTTCCCTACATGCAAGTACTTCCAATTTATTTATGATCGAAGTTTATACAGTTCCAGCTGATCAAGCACAAGATTCAGCCAGAACTGTTTCTAAATTTCCTACTCAACGACAGCAATCGGGAGAGGCAGCTGGTACAAATAACCACACACTAGAAGTTTACTTAATTCATAGCATCATAATTTATTTCAACTGCTGAGTTGACAGTTAATTTTAAAATTTCCAGGCTACACGTGAAGGAGAAAAACAGACCTGCATTTCTGCTTTTCTGAAATAAATTCACTCCAACCGTCAGGGTCTATGGAGAAGGTTAGATAAGGGGTCTGGGAAAAGCCCAGAGACCTCATTCAGGCACCACACAGAGAGAGGGGGGATGAGCTGCCTGGAAACACACAAAGTAGAGCCCCAGTCATTCATAATTTGAAAGAACAAGTAGCCACTCAATTACCTAATTGGGAAATAACTAGTCAGAAAGTCTATGGCAGCGGTTCTCAACCTGTGGGTCGAGACCCGTTTGGGGGTCAAACGACCTTCCACAAGGGTTGCCCAATTCATAACGGTAGCAAAATGACAGTGAAGAAGTAGCAACGAAAATACTTTTATGGTTGGGGCTCACCACAACATGAGGAACTGTATTAAAGGGTTGCGGCATGAGGAAGGTTGAGAGCCACTGGGCTGGGAGGATGATCAAACAGTGCATAAACAGGACACTCTTTGAAGGATAAATTGGCCGCTCTGAGGGCATTACAGGTTACTCCTTGGGCTTTTAGCCACAAGGTCAGCAGTTCAAAACCATCAGCTGCTTTGCGAGAGAAAGACAAGGCTCCCAGCCACAGAAACACAAAGTGGACGTTCTAACCTGCGGTCTAGGGTCACTATGACTCAGAATCGACCAGATGACTGAGTTTGGTGCTATGAAGATTGAAAACATTATAACCTTTTGACAACAACAATGCCACTTCTAGGCATCCAGCCCACAGAAACAATTGCAAATACATTGTAGTGGTTATTGTCGGGTGCCACAAGCAGATGCTGGCTCATGACAGGTGAGCCTCTATGCCAGAACCAACCCACAGCTCTCCTAGATTTCAACCTCCATGGGGGCACCTGGAGAGACTGCTCAGTCTTTCTCCTGTGGGCCATTGAGTTTGAACCCCCAACCTTTTAGACGAGCAGCACTTAAATGCTGCACCTGGAGGGCTCCTTCCACCAATGCATTCAATAACTGTTTACTGCAGCCTTGTTCTCAGGAGACACATCAGTGACACGAAGGCCCTGGGGCGCAGTGGGCTACGTGCTGGGCTGCTGGTTGAAAAGTCAGTAGTTCGAAATCACCAGCCCCTACGCAGGAGAAAGAAGAGGCTCTCTAATCCTATGAAGAGTTACAGTCTCGGAAACTCGACGTTCCACCCCGGCCTACAGGGTCTCTCTGAGTCAGGCTCACTCGACGGCAGTGGGTTTGGTTTCTGTTCATTTGGTATTCTCTATGTTCATCTGATGTCGACACCACACTCTTGGTGACAGCAGTTACAGCAAATCTTGAACTCAGGGTCTCGCTCTGAAAGCTTAATTTTCAAGCCAATTTCTTTTTTAAAAACACTGCTTAAATTTTGATTAAGAGTGTGCTAAAACTAGAGATCGATTTGGGGGAAAGTAGACATTTAAGCGACATGGAAAAAAATTTAGATCTTTTGATCTATGAATATGGTATATATCTCCAACAATATGTCTTTTGTCATTTATGTCAGTGTTTTTGTCATCTTCATTGAATTTAGTCTTGGGTATTTGATGATGCCCAAGACTAAGAACCAGATTGGGTTGTATATTAATTAACTGGTGGCACATGAGAGCCAGAATCCTCTAACCTAGACTTCCTGGAATCGCACACGCAGGACAAGCAGTGTTTAAAATTACTCAGCAGACAGGAAGGAGCTAGGACTCAATTACTGACTCTAAAGAAAGCTTCTTGATGACCATGGGCTGCACATCCTTGGATTGTGTTTCTTTTCCTTTGTAACTCGCCCAATACACTGTTGGAATCATAGCAAAAACCTACCATGTGAGGGATAAGCTCATCCTAGTCATTCTAACAATATAAAGCATGCCGTTGCATGGTGATCCAACACGAGGAACTTTTTCACTCAAAAAATTCATTTAAACCCTAATCTGGTCCTATATCACGTCCTTTCTGTGAAAGAGGAGGCTGAAGCCCTCAGAGGATGACTAACAGAGTTTGGGAGCGGCAGAGTTGCAATTCAGGACGCCTGGCTCCAGGGCACAGGCAATGTGGGGCCTCAGTCTTGGAGCAGACCCGTGGGTGGGCATGCTGGAGGAGGGGAAGACCAATGGCTCCCAGGTAGGTAGGCCGTGGGAATCCAGTTTGGTTTTAGCTGAAGTGTGTGGAGCAAAAGAGAAGCTGCTTTTTCTAAAAAGCAAGGGGAAATTTTGAAGGGAAAAAACCCCAGCAAATAGGGTTTTATTCACATGAAACAACCAATAACTCCAAAATGGGGACGCATCCATTTATTCATTTATCAAATGCTTGTTGAGAACCTGCAGAGAGGAGGCACTCTGCCTCCATAGATCAACTTCACAGAAGACAAACTAAAACTTTCAAAGATAAATGGGCAGGGGAGAGGAACACGCAGATTTAGTTCAGGGTGTTTCTGGTAATTTATCACATCTCTCTCTCAACCAGACTTTAAAGTCTGTTAAGAGAGGAACAATCATAAAAATTATACAGTAAATCCAGAGTGTAGGAGGAAGGCGGGGAGAATGCCCAACACTAGATAAAGCTATTATGAAAGAGACTCCTAGCAACAAGCATGTGCACACACGCACACACAGCCACGGCTCTGAAAACAACACAGAGGAACATACGTGTAGGCCAACGTGGCACTGAAGTGCTTCTTGATGTAGGTTTCCAGAACAGGGTTAAAATGCTGAAATTTCCGGTCAGCAATGAGTCCGATGATAAACACCTGTCAAGACAATTAACGTTTTCATTGGCACACTGGCGGAACCCATTCTAGAGGCCAAGTGAAGGTCAACAGGGGCACACTGTCAGTGCAGGAACTAGGTCCCTATCAGGCACCCGCTGGTCAGCGGATGGCCTCTTCTTCCCATGGACAATACATTGGTACAATTATCAATGGACCTTGGTAGAAACGCTTTGACCTCTGAACTTAGCGACTCTGACTAGATTTACCAGGAGTCCAGTCCAGTCCAGTCCAGTCTAGTCTGGGGTGGTGGTTCAAGCCCAGCTGCAAAGGCCGCGGCTTGGAGGGGTGCCTCGGTTAGGGTGCGGGTGAAGACGGAGGCCTCTTACCAGAGCGTCAAACACCAGCGTGTCGAAAGTCTCGCTCTCAGAGTTCTCCATCATGATGTTGAAGAGGGCATCCAAGGTGTCCTGCAGGAACTGCACAGAAGACAGGGAGGGG